GTGTCAAAAATAATTTATCTTCTACGAAAGCTTTAAAAAAAATTTTTTTTCACCATACTTTATTATTATTATTATTATTTTTTGTCTTTTTCACTTTTATCGGTACCGGGGATCAAACTCACAACCACCTGCTTGCAAGGCAGCTGCTTATGCCGCTGAGCTAAATCCCCAGCCCCTTAAAATTTATTTTTAAAATACTAAAAGTATGTTCATTACAGAAAATCTGCACATTGTTTTTCAAGTCAGGAAAACTACTTAGCAATCATGAAATCCCTACTACGTTTTATGACTAAGAGCAAATGTCATATTGATAGTAACAAGTATAGCGCTCTACAAGCTGAGGCATTTGCTAAGTTCAGAGCTAACTTTGCAAATACCTTTGTTCTAGTCATTCCCATGACAGACCTGTGAAACGGGATAGTCCTTTCATTGGACCACAAAACAGACTTGAAGCTCAGAAAAGTAACTTACTGCTACAGTTTGGTTACTGAATGTCCCCTACAGGTAAGTATACTGACAGCCTTCCTGGGAAGGTAGTGCTATTTAGTTGACAGGAAAGATTCTTAGTGAGACTATGCTCTTAAAAGGGATCCCGAAAACCCATCTCCTGTTGTCTCCTGATCTCCTGCCCTCACCAGAAGCTCAAAGCATAGAGCCACTCGTACAAGTACAGCAACCTCCAGAGCTTTAAACCAAAATAAACTTTTTCTCTTCCACAGTAAACCACATCGGGCATTTTGTTATAGTAACACAAAGGTAATCAACTTGCTACTAGTACCTAGGGAAATCATTATCAAAACCACAATTGGTTTCTTTTCACTACACAAAAGTCTGCCATCAAGTAACAAAAAAAAAAAAAAACCTAGGTAAAAAAATTCTTGACTAGATTACATTTGAATTAAAACCCACTCCATATTGGTTTTTGTTTATTTTTGGCTTTTTGAGATGGGATCTCACTATGCAGTCCAGGCTGGCCTTGAATTTACAGTGATCATCCTGCCTCAGTTCCCCAGTGCTGGGAAATTACAGGTATGTACCACTATACTTGATCATATTGTTAATAAGATGATTTAGTTTTCAAAGAGATATTATTTAATTTAGACCCCAATAGTTATTGCATCCAAAGGTTTGGGTACTGAAGAGCTGGAGGTATTTTTATTCTTAAAGTGGTTGAAATTACTATTCTGTATTAAAACCTATGTAAACAAATATCACTAATGTAGGACAGCATTTCAAGTATACAAAGGCTGATAGAGAAATAAATGTCTTATCATATTCTGTCACTATCTCAAGCTGTGTCTCTATTTCGGTAATGATCTTTACCAATTTTTACATCTGGAGCCTGTAGTACATGGCTGTTAGCTTCTTTTTTTTTTTTTTTTTTGGTCTTTTTCGTTTTTATCGGTACCAGGGATCGAACTCACGACTGCCTGCTTGCAAGGCAGGCGCTTATGCCGCTGAGCTAAATCCCCAGCCCCTCGAACTCACGACTGCCTGCTTGCAAGGCAGGCGCTTATGCCGCTGAGCTAAATCCCCAGCCCCGGCTGTTAGCTTCTATGTGGATTTTTTAACGTTTTGCTAAAGATGCTGTAGAGATCTACATAACAGAAAGCATACCAGTAATACACTGTTTTAAATGAATTGTGATTCACTGACTGATACAATGTCTAATAAATGTTGAAGGGGCTGGAGATATAGCTCAGCAGCACAAATGCTTGACAAGCACGAGGTCCTGAGTTCGATCCCCAATACCCACACAAAAAAATAAACCAACCAAAAAAATGTATAATAAATGTTTGGCTGGAGGCCCCTTGACAAAGTTGTGGCCCACATAGTCATTCGCACAAGGGACAGGAACAGTGGTCTGGAAATGCTGTGCTGGTTTGTGGAAGCCAGTATGACAAGGTACTCAGGAGGATGTAGTTGTGATCAGAGTATGAGAAAAATACGAGCAGGTTTCTGTTAGCGGGTACAAACATGGAAAGGAGGAGTTTGAACTACCCATGTGAACTTTTTGGCTTATACACAAATAGAAATATCAAAAGATGGGCTGGCTTTAGCCTAGCAGTTACTTCGAGTCTGGCTTTCCAACCGCCGGGGCCGATTGGTCCAGTGGTTCGACACCTACCGGTGCTCTCCAGTCCTTAAAAAAAAAAAAAGAAAGAAAAGAAAGAAAAAGAAATATCAAAAGATGTCAAGATTAAAGACAGAAAGGTTGGAGAGGGTGGGCCCCATCTGCAATCCCAGCACCCTGAGGCTGATGCAGGGGGATGACAAGTTTGAACCCAGCTCAGGCAACACAGCAAGACTATCTCAACAAAAAATTCTAAAGAAAGCGATTAGGCGTGTAGCTCAATATGAAGGACCTAGTCTCAACCTCCAGTACCACACATACAAAGAAGACTAAATACCAAAGAATGTCTTCCAGATTTAATCTAAAACATCACGGCAACAAATTTCAAGAATTCTAGGATGGACAGCTATAAACGGACATTCATGGCGCAACCAATGAAATCTGAATGAGGTCTATAAATTCACATTAAATGAGAGTTGTATCTTGATTTTGATAGCTGTATGGGTTCTCTAGGAGTAACACTACTATGTTTACAAGTGTTACGTGTCTATGCTAAGTGTTATGGTTTTGGTGTAGATGCCCCCCCCCAACCTTGTACAAAGGGGCAAGGGTTTTAGAAGACTGTGCCGTAGGGATGCAGATTTATAGCTGACTGCTCACTAGGATCTGGTGAGGTCTGAGGATCTGAGGTCTGGGATCTGGTCTGAGGTCTTTCAGCAGGGACCTGATTCAACAGGAAGCACTGTGCCTCTCCCCTCATCTCTTTCTCATCTTAGCATATCTGCTATCAGGCACTTACAGCAACTTTATAAAATAGAACAAACTCCAAGTGGGGAAAAAAAGAGTATATAACAATGTGTGCTGTGGAGCTGAACCTGGTGACACATGCCTGTAATCCCAGCACTTGGGAGGCTGAGACAGGAGGACTGCTATGAATTTGAGGACCATTTGGACTCTACAGCGAGTTCAAGGCCATCCTGAAACACAGTGAAATCCTGTCTCACAAAAAGACACATTATGCTACTCTGTAAACAAAAAAAGACTGCAAAGCAATAAATATATACTCATAAGCTATAGCAACATTTTCTTTTTTAGTGTTTTGCTATGTAGTTAAGGCTGACCTTGAACTCACTCCCTGCTTCCAGAGTGCTGGGATTACAGATGCAAGCCACAGACCTGGCAGGAGCACATTCTAATATATGTAAAGTAAAATGATTACCTTCAGTTAATGAACTTAATTCTTCCCATGATTCTGGTCGCTAACCAAATTGGATGAGACCCAAGTCAAATTCAATGGATAGCTTCAATACTGACCATATAGGGACATTTGATTTGGTTCTTATCTAATTTAGTTTGTGTCCACAATCATGGAAAGAAACCATCTTGATCAGTTCCTGAAATGTGTTTCTAGAGGTACAGTGGTTTCTTACAAACACAGAAAAGAGGCAACTAGAAAAGACTGAGAAAGCAGGGTTTTACATTCCGAGACTTTTAAAAATATTTCTATATGAATTGTAGAAGGTAAAATCCAGAATCCCTGAATTCAGTGGCTATTAAACCCAGCTGCTATGCTGTCTACCTTAGCAGCAGCCAGGAAATATTTTTTTTAAAAAGATTAGCATGTCTCAGTTTTCAAAATTCTATTTCATGGGTCCAGCGTAATTCAATAAAAATAAATTTTCTCTAGTTAATTCCAAAATTGCTAGTTCAATCAAATTACACAAATCTGATCCACTATAATAATCCTCAGTAAATTCGCAAGTTTAGAAACAAATACTGAGTACAGTGAGAGAGTAACAGCATACGGTAGGAAAAAACAGTACAAAAGTGAAATCACAGTATCTGCACTAGCCTCAATAAAGGGTGCTAAACCGTACAAGTCATTCTACCTGTCTGCCTTATTAAGGACCTAAATGTATCAAGATCAAGGTCACTCAGAGTGTAGCAGGCCCAAGATGTAGGGGTTGGGCCCCACAGTTATGACTTCTGCTTCAAAACTCCGGGCTGCTAATGGGGCCAGCCTGGCAGCTGGTGGGGCCACCCAGGTCACTGGGACCAGGAAGGCCTATCTATGGGGCCAGCTGTCATTTGCCGAACCCCTCAGCCTGAGTGGCAGGTGCAGTCCCAGGCCAGCACAGTAGCAGTGTCCCTCTGTGGGCTTCCATAGGCCCCTGCAGAGAAGCAGGTGAGGTGCCAGCGCAAGCCCAAGGAGGCACAGACCACAGTGGAGCCACAGGTAGCGGCCACACCTGGACAGATCATCCTGCCCGGGACAGTGGGCAGCACGGTGGGCATCACAAACGCAGGACCTTCAAGGTGGAGCATGCCTGAGCTGACAGCCAGGGCCTGGTCAAGTTCACTATCGCCTACATGCCACCCTTAGGTCTTCATTCCCCCTGAGTAGCACCCAGTCGTTAAAGGCATCTCTGCCCTCCTAAGTCTAAGGTCACCTGAAAATTATATCCTAGATCCTGTAGGTTCTTCAGAAGGAACTGTGTAAATAAATGTACAGCAAGTTGTATCATTATTTTTAAATGATCAACTGATACAAGCAGGTACAGAATTACAATTCTAGATTTCAAGTGGTGGTTCATCTGTCTTCATTTTATTGTACTTTTACCTCAATATATTAATCATTTTTTACTAGGCTTAAACTGTTACAAGATTTTTTAATTAATGAAACAAGCCAAGTGTGGTGGCACATAACCCAGCTACTGGAGAGGCGAAGGTGTCAGGATTGCAAACTCCGGGTCCAAGCTGTTCAATTTACTGAGATCTTGTTTTGAAATTAAAAAAAAAAAGGCTGGGCACATAGCAGAAAAAATAATCTAATGCACACAAAAAAAAAAAAAAAAAGAAAAAAAAAACCTACTGGACAGCTGATCCTTCCATTTTAAAGGATAACTCAATACAAGGAAACCAAGCATTACATGCCAACGTTACGTATTTATTATTCATGAGTGGTCAAGACTTACAAGGGTCGTTATTAGTACAACCACATATGAAATATCACTTAGCAACATGGAGTGAAAAGGACAGTTATATATTTATATTAAAAAAATACACATACACACTCTTGAGTGCTTACCGTACACTGCTACAAAAGCAGGGGTATCAGGCTGCAGGAGTTCCGCTATACATAACATGTTGAAGTATCTCAAGCATAAAAATTGTACTTAAGTTGCAAAAATAAAGGTTCTTTCTTCAAACATTTGATCTGAGCTCAAGCAAATAATGAACACCAATGATTTTTATACAATTTAACACACTTGAAAACTATCAACATACAATAGTCAACAGCGGCATAAACAAGTAAACCCTGAAAATAGGAAAGTTATAGTAGTGAACAAGGCATTTCATCCAAAATAAGGTTACAGCAGATCTGTTTCATCCTGGCTCTCAGATATTTAAGAATCTTAATTTTATTCCAACTTCAAAGTAAACCAAAACAAAATGATAAAGAGAAAAATCATTAATGCAAATGAGGCATCAATGCCCTTTAAACTTCTTTACACATCTTCACCAGTGCAAGAGCATCATTTACCTGAAAAACCGTGAGTCACAAACTGAAGAGTACTCATACAAAACTATTTCCTTTTTTCTTTAAAAAGTGCCACGTATCATACTTTTCATTAAAACAAAAAAATCACAAATGTACATAAACTAATGAAAAACAGTTTGCCTCCATCTCTTGTCAATGAGGAAAGGCCAGAGTGATTCTTTAATTCCAATTCGAAATGGCGTTCGCTGACCAATGCCCAGGGTCTCCAATTTGGAACAGTCAAGCTGAGCATTTCTTGGACGTTGTGCTCCTAAGACAGGGCTGTCAGTAATCTTTAAAATAAAAACAAAAAAAAATAAAAACAAAAAATGAGAAGCGGATGGAATCAGATCTTGAGGCTTTATATTATTTCAGTTTGCCCTTAGTGCAAGAAATCTAATTTGAACAACCGTGGAAAATAAATGTCTGCCATCGTCATTTTCTGTAACCTCCTATACTTACAGACTTCACAGGCCAACAGTTTAGAAAGTTTACAAGCAAAGTTCACACTGATTAGTCCTGAGAAAGGCTGTTACCCAATGTACCCCAAACATCCCAAAGAATATTATCAGTAATATACAATGCAGATGAATCTGGACTTTCAAGAAGCCAGGGGATTTCAATGCCAGGAACTCACTGGTCTTAAGTGACTGCTGGGGAGGTTGAAAGCGTCTGCAATCGCACAGGCCATTTCATACTTTGTCATCTGCTCGTTGCCAGACCAATGGAATGTTCCCTTAATCGATGGATCCTAAGAACGAGGACAAAAAAGATCCAGTACAGTTTCAAATAAATTTTTGAGTTGAGTAGGATGACAGGTTTGACAATAAAGCTAACATAAAATGTCAAAGAACTAACTATGAAGCAACTGTCCTATTCTGGAAGGTTCTCCACAAAATAAATACAATTCCTAAAGATATTCCTAGCCAGGGTGTGGTGCTGCCTGCCTGTAATACCAGCTCTCCCAAGGCTCAAGCAAGAGGACAGCTCCTAGTTCAAGGCCAGCCTGGGCTACAAAGTGAGTTCAAGGCCAGCTGAACTGCACAGCAAAACTGACTCAAAAAACAAAATAAACAAATAAACATAAAAAGCTGTATTTAGAATGTTTAAAATTTAGCTTACAAAATGTTTAAAGCAAGAAAATAAAAGGCTCCAGTTTTACTTAATTAGTGCAACTCCAAAATTTTAAAGAGATTTTTATGAAAACATTCTAAAATATTTCAAATTATCCTAAACTAAAACCAACATTAATAAAACCATTTTTCAAAATAAGCTAAAGATATAATGAACAATTTTTATGTAAACCAGTCCCTGCTCTTACAGATATTCTACTTAATGCCTACTTTCTGGAATGTTTAAAATCAACTTCTTATTGAAATACCTTTATGGGGGCTGGAGATTTAGCTCAGCGGCATAAAGCACCTGCCTTGCAATCCTGGGTACAGATAAAAAAGAAAAAGACAAAAAAAAACCTTTTTTTTTTTTTTTTAATCAGTACCGGGGATGGAACTCACAACAGCATGCTTGCAAGGCAGGCACTTATGCTGCTGAGCTAAATCCCAGCCCTGAAATATCTTTTTAAAGCCAGGTGTGGTGGCTCACACGTGTAACCCCAGCACTGGAGGAGGCTAATGCAGGAGGATTGTTGTGAGTTCCGGACCAGCCTGGGCTACAAAGTGAGCCCAAGGCCAGCTTGAACTGTATAATGAGACCCTGTCTCAAAAAGATTTTTAAAAAGTTTATCTTTTTCAAAAAAAAATCCAAGAGGTGACCAAAACATACAGTGAGTTTTTTTAAAAAATTACTGTAAAAGACACACTGCCATTAATCCCTCTCAAAATAGATCCCCCCTTACTTTGAATCCACTTATCCCATCACTCTTGCCACTTTTGGAAGCATTTCTGGAAACCCTCTTTCCTAGGTGTCTTTTTTACAAGATCTGATCACAGATTCAGTGGCAGCTTGCCTGCAAATGCCATGCAACAGAAAGATGGGCTTGTAAAAACCAGAGTGTGTCCTCAACGCATGTTTTTTACAACTCATGGATCGGGCACAGTGGACTTCTTCCCAAAACTCAAAATAATCACCAAACATACAAGTTCTGAATCAATTCAGGACATCAAGGCAGCCATAACAGTTGAACTAAACACATATTCAAAAGACTTGGCTTCAGAATGTCACAGTGACAATGAGGTAAATGTTCAAAGCAAGGAATATTTTATAGGGGGACCCATGGTGATATCTTTTAATGAAAGAAACCTGATTTAAACATTCACATTTATCATGCTTTTTTTTAAGACAGGGTCTCACCCTTGAACTTGCTTAAATAAAATAGCCCAAGCTACTCAAATTCCCAAGAGCTGAGAGCCACACTTCATATTCTTAATTATAGATAAACTGACAAATCCCTTACTTAGATTCCTGTTTGACACTATGTATAACTTAAAAACAAAAGATACTAGCTGAGGAATTTGTCACCTAGCACACACATACAAGGTTTTTCTCATCTTGCAATAAAACAAACTTTGGAGTCTGTAGGATGCAGGAAACAATTATCTTCACTCCTCATGAATACAGTTTAGTATCTGCAAAATATTTCTGGTCTCTTAGTTTCATAAAAAAAACTTTTTAAGAAAGTTTTGTAAGTACCTTCAAGTTTCCCCTCTGAAACCCTCCCAAATTTAGAGAAGACCATTCAGGAATAGAAAAGACAATGGGCCTGCACCACAATGAGAAGACAGACCCTTCCTTCCCTTCCCTTCCCAGGTCTTTCTTACCAGCATTCTCTTCTCTGCCAGTTGCCGACACACAGTGGCTACGTCCTTGACGTGGGTGGGAAACCTCTGCTGCCAGTGGTCCATGTTTGCTGACTTGTTGCTGAACTGCACTTTATCAAACATAACAGTGACTGCACTTTCTTCAAGCTTTTCAACCTCCCCATACAGAACAGGAATTCTCAAAACAGCAGCTCCTAGAGACAAACACACACGGAGGGTTTTTGTTTTTGTTTTTGTCTTTTTCATTTTTATCGGTACCAAGGATCGAACTCACGGCCACCTGCTTGCAAGGCAGGCGCTTATGCCGCTGAGCTAAATAAATCCCCAGCCCCTGCTGTGTGAGTCTTCACACATCCATGTCGAAAATGTAACCCCAGTACAACAGTTCTGGGAGGGGGGGTCCTCTTGAAAGACGTTTTGGTCATGGGGTAACCTGATCTTAGATGGATTAACGCCATTTTATTGAAGGGTTTGGTGGAGGAAGCGCTTTGCTTTCCTCTCCTTTCACTGTCGTGTGAAGACCAGCAGCAAGCAGGCCCCCTACACACACCTCATCCTGACCTCAGACTTCCCACAACTCAAACCAGGAGGAAATGAGCCACTCCATGTCTTCTACTACATCAGCATAAAGCAGACAATGCCAAAAATGTTTTCTTGGGTGAGTTCTGCCAGATAATTTATAATACAAAAGATCAATCTGAAAAACTAAATGTTCATCACTAGGGTACCCTAAATCAGGAGCTGTTCCCAGGGATACCACCCAGTCCTGCCTTGCTTCCAGAGGAGACAGAATCAAGTACTGGGCTCCTGCCGGTGGGAATAAGATCTCTCAGAGCCAACTTCACACCTACCAAAACGAAAAGACGCGGAGCAAAGCAGGTTTTGTGGGACAAAATGCATGCCTCTCCTAAGGCAGGAAAAAGTATTTCTATGCAAAACTGTACTTTATGCTTATCTCCGTGAAACAGCATTTTAGGACTTCCATTCTTTTTTTTTTAAATATATTTCAAAAATTGTTATAATTTTTTTGAGAGAGTTTTCATTCTTTTTTTTTTGCTTTTTGAGACAGGGTCTCGCTGTGCAGTTCAGGCTGGCCTTGAGTTCACTTTGTAGTCTAGGCTGGTCTCGAACTTGCAAAGATGCCTCAGCCTCCCGAGTGCTGGGATTACAGGCATGAGCCACCACGCCTGGCTGAGTTTTCATTCTTAAGAGTTAAATTTCTTTTAATTTTTTTTTGGGGGGGATATACTTATACACAAATAAATATAGGGGAAAAAAACAAACAGAAAAAAAGAAAAAGCAAATATAAGAGAACACTTTAAGTAAGCAGACTACTTCATTATATTGCACTATATTTTGAAAGTAGATTACAAAAATTAGCACTTCAGGATTTGTTTTCTATTTACAAAGATGTGTATGTATATACTCAGAATGGAAAAAGTTAAGCATTCACAAAGTAGCTATGCTTTAAGACCTTAAAATTCTTTTTATTAACTATGCTTTATCATTTCTATTTATATTCCTTGTCTTTTTCAATTAAAACACATAACCCAACCCAGTCCTAAAAACAATCACAAAGTCAGGCGCGGTGGTGCATGCCTGTAATTCCAGCACTAGGAGGCTGAGGCAGGAGGAACGACATGAGTTTTTAGGTCAGTCTGGGCTACACAGTGAGTTCAAGACTAGCCTGACTATACAGCAAGACAAGATCCTGTCTAAAAAAACAAAGAGGTGGGGGATGCAAAAAGACAAAAGGCTACGTCTTACCTAAATTATTCTCCAGGACGGCTTTTTCTCCTTCCAATTTTGTTTTGCCATACAGATTTAGGGGAGCTGGTATGTCTTCCTCTCTATAAGGTGGATTTGTTCCGTCAAACACATAATCTGAGCTAATGTAGATGAGAAATGCCCCAACTGCAGCTAACAACAAAAAAAGGGTAAGTCTATTAAATTTTTAAAAACATTACTCTTTAGTGGAATTTAGAAAAGTTTGTCCAATATGTGCAAGTCCCTTATAAGTCATCCACAAAACTTTAGCCATTGAAAACTCAGTGATCATTAATAATTTATAAAGATTTTATGAAGTTGTCATTACCTGCTTCCTTTGCTAAATTCCCAGAAGCATCCACATTAAGCTGAGAGGCAGCATCTGGCTGGTTCTCCACGACATCTGGTCTTCTCTCTGCTGCACAATGTACTATGACATGAGGCTGGAAGGTAAACATTGATGCATGCTTAAGCCCAAACAGAATAAAACAGAGGAACTATAGCTTTCCTAAATTAAGTTAGAGGAAGAATTCCTTAAATCAATATTGCATCAACTAAGAACACCCCATATCTAGGACTGAATCCAGGGCCTTGTGTGTAGCACCTTTCATTTGTGAGCAGGTGTTGCAAAGTGTCTGCCTTGAACTTGCAATCCTGCCTCAGCATCCTGAGCAGCTGGGAGTGCAGGCATGCACAATTGTGCGCAGCTGTAACTTTTAGTATAGTTTTGTCAGGCTTTCTTCCCCCATCAAGGTTCAAAGTTCTTGACAATACATATGTAAGTTCTAAAAATGAAAGAGCAATTTAGTGATTCCAAGACAAAATTATAGGGAAAGAAAAAATAATTGTTTCTGTTCAAAAGATGTTTCATTTCCCAATCTGCAGAATTGTCATTTATGTAATTAGTATCCCAAGTAGCCAAGTGTGGTGGCACACATCTGTAATCCTAGCACTCTAAGAGGCTGAGGCAGGAGGACTGTAAATTCAAACCCAATTCAGGCAATTTAGCAAAAGTTGCATAGAAAATATTACTTAGAAAACAGAGCATAACTGAAGCATTTTTGTGGTTTGGTTTTTTGAGAGAGTCTTGCTATGTAGTTCAGACTGGCCTGTTAACTTGTAGTGATCCTCCTGCCGCAGCCTCCTGAGTGCTGGGGTCATTATAGACATGTGCCACCACACCCCATCCATAAACCAGTTTTTTTTAAACAAAATGCTTCCTATCACTGTCTTTGTCAACCAATATCACAAACTAACTTTTTAAAGGAGTAACTTATACTTTGTCAATCTAAAAGAAGTGTAAACTGGGCATGGTGGTACACACCTGTAATTTCAGCACTAGGAGGCTGAGGCAGGAGACCACTGCAAATTCAAGGCCAGCCTAGACTACAAAGTGAGATAAAGGCAATCTGAAATTCATAGCTGACCCTATCTCAAAAAGACTAACTGTATTACATACTGTTTCTCCTGAATATGTTAGAAGTTTAAAAGTACAGTGATGTCTTTGGGAACAAGTATATTTTTTATGTCATGCAATTTTTAAGATAATTCATGCATACGTTAAAATACATAGATAAAAGCGTACCTGAAAATCATGAATGATGTGATGAACTGCTTCTGAATCCAACAGATTAACCTGTTCAAATTTTGGCCTTGCTCTTCTAAAACCACAACCAACTGCATGCCAGTTGTTCTGCTGAAATTCTTTGTACACAGCTCTACCAAGAAGCCCAGTGGCACCAGTAACCAGAACTCGCCTGCTGGGAACATTCACTTCCTCCTAAAGGTAAAGAGGTAAAACTTGCTTTACTTTGAGAGCACTTTTCTTAAAGAAATGAGACACCACCACTGTTCAGTAAGTACCTCAAATCTAAGTTCTCTGATTCATGCCATGTATCTTCAAGGCAATTCTAAAGGCAGAATTGCAGCATAAACTATACTTAAATTTCAATAATCCCAAGAAAAATAATGTAAGCTGATACTTCTGATAATTACCTAACTAGATTTCAGTCAATAACGAAAGGCTTTATTTTTATAATGATGTCCAAATGAACAATAAACAAATAAATGTTCCTCCATTTATAAAAATGTTCAAATTTCAATCAGGCATGTTGGCACATGCCTATAATCCCATCACTTGGGAGGCGGAGGCAGGAGATTACTTCAGTTTGGAGGTTAACCTGGGCTATGTAGTGAGTTCAAGGCCAGCCTGAATTATACAGTGTGACTCCATCTCAAAAAACAAACAAGTTTTAAGCTTATCTTATAGTATGATTAAGCATTTCGGTTATATCCCCCAAAAAAGGACTAGAGAATAAATTAACATTTTTAGTTTCCAGTTTTTACTTCCAAGTTTTCTTTCAAATGTCAAATATACATATATTTATATTTTTTTTAATTTAGGGGCAGTACCAAGAATTGAACGTGGGATCTTGAGCTTACCAGCCTTAATTTATTATATTTTGATGGGTCTGAGAATTAGTCAAAATTTCAGAGGAGCTTATCTTGTTCCTTACAACACAGGACAGAATGTTAAGTTTGAATGGTTAACATACTTAAATAAACTCTAAAATTATAGTAGATATATAGGTAAAAACAATAAACACAATGGGTAAGGAAAACTAATTTAAAAATAATGTTGTTACTGAGACAAAAATTCTTTATATAAAGTAGTTAAAAAGAACCATGATAAAAAAAATTGTGATTTAAGGAACAACTGAAATCTCTATATTCGAGGCATGGGTGCAAAACATCTCCCTCTTCGTAAGATAAGTAACCTCCGAGACTTTTTAAAATGTCAATTTTTACTATTTTAAAAGTTTTTTATTACATTTTGACATATTTGGGCTTATTTCAAGGCATTCACAGTATAGAATTCTAAATTTGAATGATTAACATACCTACATAAACTCTAAATTTACAGTAGATATTTACAGTTAAAAGCAATAAACACAAAGGGTAAGGAAAAATAATTTTAAATAATTATAATTCTAGGCTGTCAAAAGCTTTTATGTATACAAAAACACAAAACTTTTTTTCCTAGGCTTTACTTAGTAGTCATATATGCTTATTTAAAGGACATCAAAATTTGCATTTGTGGCACACAAAAAGCAAGTGAAAGGGTTCACAGAGAATTTCGGTGTAAAAATAAATTTTTAAATATTACTTCTTGGCTCAAAAATTTCAACACACTTAAAAAGTTTAAAAGGAATTTTCTGTGGGCTCTCTTGTAACATCTGGCTCTAACCCAGCTGATTAATCAAAACAAGAACTGCAGCCAGCAAATATTTTCTTTGAATTTTGGCAAGAAGACAGTTCTACAATAACTTGAATGAAAAGAAGAAAAAACATGCCAAGTCTAGAAGAGAGTGAGGAAAAGAATTTACACAATATAAACACTATAAAGATTCCATGACAGATCTCAGCACTACCCAGGTAGAATTAACGCCTACCCGCCTGTAGGCTACAGAGCATATATAAAGCAGTTCTCCTTCTCATGAGGTAATTTAAACTGTTCGGGTTTTGAGACAGCAACAAATCAGTGCCAAGCCCTGAACTGTATCATCTTGAACAACGAAAAACATGCAAAGATATTTTCATTTCTTTACTGACTTCCTACTGTGAAAGTAGATTATGCTTCAGGCGCAGACTCACAGACACACCTATGTATATATATAAAGAAACGCACAATGGCATATCTATTCTAACTTTACCAAATTCAAAGTAACTTGAAAACTCTAAACACATTATATTTGGGAAACATGTAATTTTTGCCATTAGTAAAAACAGCCATCTCCTATGTTTCTATGTGTGTGAGACATATTGATCTGGGCGCTAGCAGTCTTCTCAGTGCTGGAACCAAAGAACGCTGGGGGCTTGGATGAAGGCGGGGTGGGGGGCATTAGGGACGGAGCTTCGCGTGCAAACTACGGGGCTTGTTCAAAGACCTGGGCAGCTACACAGATCTGTATTCGAAACCCTGCTTCAACCTCACTGAACAAACTCAGGCCACTGTCCTATCCTCCGAGCTTCAGTTTTCTTACCCCCAGATGCGAGGAGCAACGGCATCTCAGGGCTACTAAGATCAAAGCAAGGCATTACGGGCATAACAAAATGTGCCTTGCATGAATTAGAGTTGCGAAAACTGTCATCTCCGAGCTGTTTTAGAAAAACTCTACCTTCGCCTTCCTTCTCAAAACTACGAACTCCTAAGATCGAGAAACACGAACAAAAGACGCAGAAGGAAGAATCAAAAGTGAAATGACTTAAAAACTTCCTTCTTCAGTACCCAAAAGAGAGAACAAAACTCAAAGCAATCACCCCGGACAGTGCGAGCGGCCTCCCCCCGGCGGCGCCGCCGCAGGGAACGAGCTCCCAGCTCCGCAGCGGGGAAGGCGGCGCTGGCGATCCCGGCAAAGGCTCGCGCTGCACCCGGCGGGAGACCTCTGCAGAACCACCCGGGCCCTGACCCCTCGGCGCCCCAGGTTTCCCTGGGACCCTGGCCGACGCCCTCACCTCTACCAGTCGGCAACACCCGGGGACGAAGTGGATGGACAGTTCTTTCTCCCGCCCAACCATGCCTGCCGTCTTGCAGCCGTCGCCGCCGCCACCACCGCGGCCTTGGATGCACTTCCGTGGACGAGGATGGCTGCGAACCGCAGCACCGTCGCCTTCTGCCCGTCTCTCCTAAGCCCAAGGCGACCCCCGCTCGCCGCTTCCGGCTTCCGCCGCTAGCGCCGCGCCTGCTCATTGGTTACGCTTCGCCGACGCCCTAGAAAGGGGCGGGTGTACGCGGGACGCTCCCAGCCCACGCGCCAAGTCTTAAAGTGGTACACACAACAAAGGCCCTCAAAGCAAGCAATGAATGCGGCTTTAATCCGCAAGGTTGTGTTTTTTTTTTTTTTTTTTCTAAACTGCGCTCAACACGCAAAAAGCAACTGAGCATGTAATATATAAAGCAGAATATAACATTTTTGAAGTGATGGGCGGCGAGAGGAAAAGAAGGGAAAGAGATGGACATTATCTAAAGAATTATGTGTGGGTTTTCAAAGATTTCGAAAGGAACAAGGAATAAAAATAGAAGTGTTGATATTTGAGTCATCAGCACCTCGGGAACTATTTGTTTTTCTGGCATCCTAAAAACAGTAACTGTGAAATTCTAAGAATGGGATGTTATTTTCAGCTAATTAAAAAGGTGTGGGGAAGAGGAAGGTGAATCATGTGGGCATCTGTTGAAAACGCAGTCTCAAACTTTCACCGAAGGAGAAACCGTGGTAGAGAGTCCGAGACTTTACTTTCTAGTGGATTTCACAGGATCAGAAGTCGCGGTTCAGGGCGGCGTCCAAAGCCTTGGGAAGCACAGAAAACTAACCAGGGCGCCCGGGGAGCTCGATCGCAGGCACCCCGTAAAACCAACACCCGGAGGCGAGGGAGCCTCCAGCACGCACCGCCTTCCCCCGGCTCAGAAGTTCAAGCAGCGTCTCCGGCTGTCGCGCAGGAGACACAAAGCCGGCGCGGTCCTAGTAGGTTTCGCCCACTTTTCACCCAGCGATCTGAGTGTTCGCTTCCGGACACCCATAAAATAGGAAGCTGAAAAACTGGCCTCAGGCGAGCCCTCGGCTTGGAATTTCCTAAGGCCAATCTCCGGAGTCTTTCTCGGTTTATTTTAGAGCTAAAGAGTAAGCAACCTTTGAAAAAGCTTCGTCAGTGTCAGAGACTCCTGACTTTTCCTTCTTCCCCAACCCCCTAAAGAGCTTATTTCCTCATTTACGTAGACCTAAGAGTTTCTTTACAACAAAAGGCTGGTTGCCTGTGTTTTTTTTTTTTTTTTTTAATGCTGGCGGTTATAGGTCAAAACATTTAGCATTCCTTAGGCGATTGCTGAGAGGGCTTCCCGAGCACGAAGCAAGCAAGAAGTACAGACAACAAAATAAAACGAAGGAGCAGGGAGCAGATCCAAAACTCCTCACTCTCCTCACTTAAAATGTAGGAACTAAAAACTGCTTTCAACTGGAAGATTCCAGGACTTACATAAGCAACTAGCCTTATAATTCTCAAAGCAGCACTGAAGGAGGAACAAAAGTTTGCCTGCCATTTAAGAATCTGATTTGATACTGGTTAGATAAAAAAGTTGGATCTAGTTTTTGGGCTTGAGTACGGTTTGAATCATTTCCTTTAATGAGGAATTTCTTAATAAAGATCTCTGCTAATTAAACGCCAGCTTTTTTACAGATGTTAGCAACTTCACCAGGTAATAGCCACACTGCTATAGACAAAAATGCCGACAGACCCTTCACACACACACACACACACACACACACACACACACACACACACACACACAATTGGGTTTAACCCGGTAAATGAAACTGCTGATCGGTTTTTGCAACGTGGTCTATTGTTTGGTGTCCCAAGATTATGTTTTAAATCCATGAATGCCGCCTGGTTCTAGTATTTTTTTACATATCCATTCTGGTTTGTTTTTTTTTTTTTACCAAGCGCCTGCTGGAATGCTTTCAAAGCAACTCTTAGTCCAGAATCCGTCTTTTCTTGAATCAGTAGCTCTTACCTGTTCCATGTCTTCTGGCATTTCAGGCATGACTAGATTTCGGGAAAGAACCGGATGAGTCTCTGCGTCTACCTTCCTGGGCAGGGTCTTTGTCTTCTGTGCTTGCTTGGAACTCAAGGCAAAACGTGAGCGCCGCTCTACTTGACCTTTTAAATTAGCATTTTGATTCCAATCCCGGAATCTCGTGCACTTTTCCACAGTGCAGTAAACTGGCAGCTGATTCCCTGTGGTACTTTCGAAAATATCCAATGAGAAGTTTCATGTTTAATTTCCAATCAAGTAAGGATTCTTACAAAACCATACGGCAGAATCCACTATTAATTTTTTAAAACTACAAGAATTTTCTCTTGCAGGAAGAGCAAGACAACAATTGAACGCACAGTATCCATGCAATTGTTTCGTGTTCTGAAATATTTGTTCAATCACATCTTGTTAATAACAAAATATGTTTACTAAAATGCTTCGATCCCTTCCCCCACCCAGTGCTTTCAAATGTACTTGGCTTGATGCTGAAATCTCAATTATTCCAGAGGTATAAGGCAGGGGACTCTTAAATTGAAAAGCAATCTGGGCAATTTAGAGAGACCCTCTCTCAAAATTAAAAGAATAGGGACTTAGCTCAGTGATATCTAATTCAGTGCGAGGAAAGAAGAAAAAAAAAGCCACTGGTAGAAAAATCCAAAAATTATTTCCATTAACACATTCTTCAGCCGTTTGACAGAAAAAAGTGGTAGGTGGAGTAACCTTAAAGTTATCGTTATCGAGGCATTAAGGACTTCTAGATGCGTCACAAAGTCTAAGGAACAAAATAACTCTCTCCTAGTCAAATAGTTCTCCATTGTTAACAGTTTCAATGATGATGAATGTGCTCAGCTAAGCAGTGAATTACTGTTCTAGATTATGGCTCTGTACCAATTACAAAACAACAAAGCTTGCCATTCAAACTGATCTAAAAAAAACAATCACTTGACTTGGTATTCTACCCATTTTGAGTACACAACACATGCAACCTCTATGAGGCATTCATAGAGCCTATAAATCATGAAGAACACTTTTTGTGTTTGCATTTAAATATGTCTTTAAAATTAACATTATCGGGGCTGGGGATTTATCTCAGTGGCATAAGCGCCTTCCTTGCAAGCAGACAGTCATGAGTTCAGTCCCTGATACCGATAAAAACGAAAAAGACCAAAAAAAAAAAAAAAATTAACATTATCAGGGTTGGGCCTGTAGCTCTGTGGCAGAGAACTCACCTAGAACAAATGAATTCCTGGGTTCCATTTCCCAGCAGTGCAAAATAAACAAATAAATAAAATTAGCATGTCAAGATGTAAAAGCTAAATAATTAAGCAGGCTAGAAAGAAAACATATGGGAATATCTTCTTTCTGAGACAGGATCTTGCTATGCAGTTCAGGCTGGCCTTGAGTTCAATTTGTAGCCCAGGCTGGTCTCCCAATTTGCAGTGATTCTCCTGCCTCAGCCTCACCGAGTGCTGGGATTCCTGGTGGGGAATATCTTCTTGTGACTAAAGTACTTCTTACATACAACAGAGAAATCAGAACAACAGTTTCTAAAAATTAATATTCATTAAAGTGAAAAACTGCTTAATAAAATGTGATGAGAGAAAAATAACTCTACCTGTTAGATGTTAGAGCTCATGTCCCCTGCATATAGAAGAATGAATATTATGGACAAGGAGGTAAGAATAGGAAAGGCTTACTATCAGAAAGCTCATGAGAGACAGTAGTATCTCCAAAGGGATGGCTGTTCAGGCAATAATTGTTTTTCTCTCTTCTTTTTCTCTTTTTTTTTTTTTTTTTTGAGACAGAGTGTCTTTCTATGTAGTCCAAGATGTCCCTGAACTCTCTGTGTAGGCTAGACTACAACTCACAGCAATCCTCCTGCTTCAGCCTCCTGAGCTCCAACAATACTTTATATAGCAATTTGTTACAGGCAGCTGGGCTAGTTAGAAATACGATAGGCAGTCAGATAGGGCTAGGCCCTCAAAGAAGGCAGTGCAGAGGATCAGATGTCTGATGACCTTGGAGGAGACACACACATTTGCTGTGGGCTAGGTCTCCAGACTGAAGGCAAAACAAATGCAACCACACCCTTAAATATAATCCTTAGGGATTAAGTCCTTGAGAAATCTGGAGTCACTATTCCAATCCCTAAGGGAAGATTAAATTGTTCCCAATTTAATCAATTTTACCTGAACTATTAATCTTATTGGCTAAACATAGTTCTATGCCATCTCATGCCAGTCTACCTCTGCAGTTCCCAGTTTTCCCCAACTTTAGACCCACCTCACCTCATGATGTTATTCTATAAAAATCGGGAGAAAATACAGAATCTTTGGCAACCCACTTGAGACCCCTTTTGTTTGTCTCTCAGACAGAAGCTTTCTTTCTCTCAATAAATATTTCTGCTCTTAACCTCCTTTGTTCCTAAAATTTATTCTTCGAATTTAGAGAACATGAACTCGAACGTATAGTAGTAGATCAGTAGTTTCATTTCCCTATATCAGTATAGGCATAATGTGGGTCAAACTACAATCAACCAAATAGGATTATAATTATAGTTACTTAGGTACATTTATCCAATAGAGACACAAGACACGTGGCAAGGGTTTATGGCTAACATCATTAATTTTGGTTTATCTATAATTTTTAAATAGAAAGAACAAAGGCATTTTTATGGAAGGGATGAGTCGACAGGTTTTGGTTCTCCATCTGTGTGTGTGATGCCTGTCTGGGCCCACCAGCCCAGAGGGTGTTAATCACAATATAAAGTTGCTGTTATCTTTAGGGAGGCTTGCAGGCTGGCTATTAAGTCACTCTCTCGGGTCCTGGCTCTTTTAAATTTGCCATCAGCCACAATTTTGATGTGTTTTCATCTTCTGCAGTGACTCCCTCAAAGGCCCCATTCCTGTCTGCGTGCCTCCTAATTTGTCTAACTTAGCTGTCTGTAACAGAAAAATATCATTATGGACATGAAAAAGCAAACTGCAGACTGGGAAAAATAATTTCAATACACTGATCTGAAAATAACTTGCATTCTGAATATTTAAACAACCCCTTCCATTTATTAAGTGAGAAAACAATTTTTAAAATAGACCCCCCCACACACACATCTTCTTTTGGTTTTTTTGGAGACAGAGTCTTGCTATTTCAGGTTGGCCTTGAACTCACAGCAACCCTCCAGTCAGCCTCCAGTGCTGGGATTATAAGCACAACCACCATAACCCGGTTTGGACCTTTTTTTTTTTGGTACCAGAGATCAAGCTCAAGACCTTGCACTTGCCAGACAGGCTCTTATGCCACTGAGCTAAATCTCTGGTCCCTACACAAATTTTTTAACAATCACAAAGGAAGATATAAGAATGGTCAGGGTCTTGGTTACTTTTCCTGTTACTGAGAGAAAATATCTGACACCCAAAGTGAAAGGAGAAAAAGTTTGTAAAGGTCTCAGTCCGTAGCTGGCTGGCTCTGCGGCAGGGTAGCATGGTACAAGGTCCTCACAGAGAACAGACAGTCCATGGTATGGCAGAGCAAGTTTAGGCAGCAAGCAGGAAGTAGGAAATTGGCAGCAGTAATGAATAGCAGCTGCAAAGCTCCCTTTCTATGCCCCCCAGGCTACATCACACCCCAGGTGGAGCTTCCCATTATCCATACCCAAAACTATTCAAACCAATTAGTGCACTAATTCACTGGGCTTTAGTCCTAGCACCACAACACTTCACCCCAGCATCTCACCTTTACTCCCTGTATCACACACCCTAGATCCAGTCACTTCCCCAAAACCCCACCAATGACCTTGAGGCTTTGTGAGGACATCTCAGTGCAAGCCATAAGTCAGTAAGCACATAAAAAAGAGGCTCCACATCAGGGAGATGCAAATTAAATTAGATACACAATAGAACGTCAGTTTCATATCTAACAGAACAACTAAAAATAACAGACTGACAATATCAAATGCTAGTAGCAGAGAGAAAAATTTTTACTTCTACCTTTTAAGGTTTTTAGCTGGATTTGAGAACTAACATGACTTAAGACAGGAAAAGAACTTATAAAAGTACTTAATGAACAGGTGCCTTAATAGAGACCTGAAGATCCAAAGACACAGCGCTCAACATTTATAACACCGAATTACACAAGAATAGTAAATTGTGAAAAAGAACTTAATTATGGGACAAAGCTAAGATATGAGTTATTTTAATAAGATTTACATAGAATTTTCTTGGCTTCAACTTCCCACCCATGATAATAAGATAACACTATGATTCTAACATAGAGAGCATCTGTTGCACAGAAATTTCATTTCCAACTTTTAAGAAACAAAAGGAAGGTCAAACGATCTTGCATCGGCTGTTTTGTAAGTTCCTTTATCTCAAAATAATCAATATTGCCAGGGGGGCATATTTTTAACTCCTTCATTAATAAGCAATTTGAACAACTAGAATATTCTTTCATAGTGTGAGCATAAGGTGAGGATATAGCTTAAAGGCACAGCAGCTGCCTGGCAAGCTCAAGATTGTGCGTTTGATTTCCACTACCAAAAAAAAAACCATAAATAAAAACAAAATCAACAACAAAAAAAGACAGCGTGAGCATAAAATAAAGATTCCACTTTAAAAAACTGTTTGAAGTTTTAAAATAAAGTTAAACATGCCTTGTCCCCATAATTCTACTTACAGGTGCATAGCAAAGAGAAATGAAAGCATAGATCTATAAAGATTTACACATGAATATTCATAGCAGCTAAATTCGAAATAGCCTAAAACTGGAAAAAAAATGTCCATCAATTGATAGTTAAACAACTTTTAATTTTTTAGCTTATCTTTAAGGCTGGATTCTTAGTTCATGTATATTAAAATACTTGACAGATTAAAAAGTTAAACTAGCCAGATGTACTGGCACGTATTTAGTGTATACTCTCAGCACTCAGGGAGTCTGAGCTAGGAAGATCCAAAGATCAAGCCCAAGACTGGGAGTGTAGCTCAGTGTTAGAGTGCTCACCTAGCATGCACAAGGCCCTGAGTAAGGGCCTATCTCAAAAAAACACAAAAGACTGAGGATGTAGGATAGCACCCTGTATTTAATCTCCCACATAGAGGTAGGAGGGGGAGGAAGGAGGTTTTAACTAAGAATAAAACAAAAGCACTGATGATCTGGGCATGGTGGTGCACACCTGTAATCCCACCT